ACAAGCAGAATTTATTATGCATATGTATATCTATTTTCGGTGTATCTACTGCTATTTTGCCGTGACACACTTGTTTAAGATTGTTGTATTGTTATTGTGTTTATTCTTTGCCTGTGAGTTGGCACTACATTGTATGGCGGAAGTGTAAAGTGTCTTTCCACACACCTGCTCTGATTGCTTCGAGCGTACTTAAAAGCCACTTCCGTAACCTGAGTTACAAACTGAAGAAGACTTCCTGTCGAAACGTCTGTGTTTCTGGTACTGCCACCCAAGTTGATTTATTAAATTTACCAAAAGGACATTTGTGAGTGCTGGCATTTTTCCCTTTTTCGCTGTTTTTGGCCGTGCACCTTTCGAGGGGATTTATTTTGAGAGTGCTTGCTTCTTTCCTACGTGATTTATTAAAAAGTTCCAAGACTGGGAGTGGAACCCCACTATACAGCGCCACAGCAAGAAATTTTGCATCTGTGCTACCAAGTCACTACCAGTCAGTGTGAAATCAATCTGACTGGTGGCTGGGGCAATGGTTTTTATCTAGCCTATCTGAACTCGTAATATAATTTGCACATATCCAAAAACATGCATTGTTGACAAAGTTACTCTCACTCCCACACCCTCTCACTGGGCAGGTGAGAGGGTGTGGAGTTCGGAAGAAATGCAGGACGACAGCGCGGTGGCGATATCGCACATTATACAACAGTTAGTTCCGGCCCTGCAATCTGATTGGTCGAGAGACAGTAAAACCGTTGTATTGGAGTACAACATCACGGTTATTTCACTGTGTATGTATCACTCCGCCTCACAGCTGATTGCAATCAACAATCAAATCAAAACTGACGGTTATCTGGTACACTAAAGCGCCGCTGGGAATAAACTCACTCACACAGATGCTGCCGAAGAGGCAGGGACAACAGCTATCTACACCAATCACAGCTTTAGGGCAATTGCCATACAGAAGCTGTCAGATGTGGGACTTGAAGCGAGGGAAATCATGACAGTGAGTAGGCACAGGTATGATGTTGTTTTAACGTAGCCTATGTGTAAAGTTAGTCTTCTAATTAGGAGTCGGGCCCTAAAATATAACTTTTGTCTTGCAGGTCTGAGAGGTCGTTAAAAAGCTACTGGAGCCATCCATGGAGAGCAGGAAACGAAGGCAGAGTCGGCTGTGCCTGTGAAGCAACAGTCCACCATGCAGTCACCAGAGACTTCACTGGCTGCACAATTAATGGAAATGTGCAGATAAATGTGTATAAAGAGTAAGTGCCTGGCGCACCATGTCTGCGTTACATAGCAACAGTGACAGCAGAGTCCTGAGGGAACTATTTTTGTTGGCGGAAGACCAATAAAATGCTTAAATTATCTATTTTGTCCTCATTTTTCAACATTTCTTAATCAGCCTTGCTTATTTAACTGTTGAACTGTTGTATAAAAGCAATATCACACTCGAGCACACTCCCGATTCTGAGTGACAGAGCACGAAAGTCAATGCAGCACTGAAATGGAAGGCGCAAGACAAATTGAAGAGGAGGCACTTGCTATTGTAAGATTGAATTTATATTTTATGGGTAAAAGTTACTGTTCTCATTGTATTATTGTTCACTGGAGCATTATTGAAGTATTGCCTGTATTTTTATGGCATGTGTTAGTGTCAGCCGCTTGGCAGTGCTGTTGAGACAGCGGGTAATGTGGAGATCAGATTTAGGGAGAAGAAGGAAGGGGGGACGGGAAACGGAGTAGAATCGGATGGCTGTATTTGTGACCTGTGTTCAGAGACTGCACTAAACGTTATGAACAGAACCCAGTATGTTGTTGGACTCATTCATTCCTGCACACACACCCACATCGCTTACACTATTTTGAGGAGGCTTCTAGGTTCACCAGACCTAATGAACAGTCTGGTAAACCAAGACGCCTCTGGGAGTACAAGCGACGGTTCAATAAACAATGAGAACAGTGAGATGAACGTATTGTTTAGGCCTACCCGATGCGTAAATGTAAATTATAGGCCTACGAGGAGTGAACTGCTCCCAGCACCCATAACTTCAGCTCATCAGGTGCAGACTCCGCTCTTTCACGCCAGGCGATTCAGCGGCTGGGGCAGGTCGAAGGCAAAGAGATGGTGGGTAACATTAGCCACATTAAGTATTATTTTCTGTCCATGAATGTAATAATTAAGTCAGACAACTATCATTGTTTCCAGAACAAGACTGCCATACTACCGCGAAACTCCTTTTTTTAAGGATGTGATACTGCTCTTCAGCCCCTGTGACAAAACGGTCCCAAGGAAAAAAATGAAAGAACTCTTACATGAAAAGGGCCACGTTATAAGTGCGCTACAACTTGATAGAACATGGGACAACAGTACACTGTTTCTCAAACTGTGTGAGGCATTCGATGGAAGGATCCCCTCTGATGTAAGGTGAGATTACATATTAGCAGAGTCACTGAGGAGCAACTGGACAGGCAAACTAGGCAATTGCCTAGAGCCCCGAGCTGGAAGGGGGCCCCCAGAGACGGCTGACATTGGTCCATATCAATGACAATATTATGGATATCCCTATAGACACTGCAACAACGACAACACGTTGGAATCCCCCCTAACGGGGCCCCCTACTAGCTGCTGCTTGCGAGTGGCTAAGTAGGGAGACGTCCCGCATTGTGCGGGACTGCACAGCATCTCTGTCTCTTTTCACGCGTCACGCAAATTGAGACCATGTCCCGCATGATTGGTGGTCACCCGCGCTAGCATTGTTGGAGTACCGTAGTACTACGGTACCTCACGGTACCACTACTGTGGGATAAGTTCAAAGTCCAATCACAAGAGGGTGAGTGTCCATGCGCCGTCCAATAATGGCGCGCGCTGGTCAATAACGGCGCGTGCTGGCCACCTGGCACTCAATATGCTGCTGCAGTGGTTTGTATCCAGTGACATTTCAGGTATTACCTGAGCTATTGAGTATCTTTAAGCAGTGAAAGTTATTATTTATTTCTTTTTACTTGTAGGTTAGATTTGTTTATATTTGCTACAGTGATTTGTTTTCCACAGAGTTCTACGGTGCGAGCATTTTACTTGCATTTGCGACTAAAAATAGTTTTCCACAATCAAAAGAAATCATTCAGGAGTATGCTGTGTGAGTACAGATTTCAACCAGCAGCAGAAACGAAAGGCGAATCCTGCTGGTTGTGGGTTGAACGGGGGTCACAGACGCCGTATTCCTGTCAAATACGGCGCAAGATAATGGCTTACCGGCGACGGAGAAGTCCGGCTCCAGGTCCAATAATTTCCTCTTTGTTGATTTCATGACTGCCCAGAATACCTGAACAGCCGAGCCGTGGCGGCACACAGGTATGTGATGTGTCAGAGGAGAAACGAGCCGTTCACATTTCTCTCTTTGTGGCAGGTAACAGCCCACAAACCTCACCGCACTTTAGGGACTGTTCTTTACTTGTGAAGGAGGGTGGCTGGTTGATTTTTATTTTATTTATTACTTTTATTTTGATCCCCCTTATGTTAATCACTTATTGATGCCGTTTTTGAAGTATAATTAAGTCAATAAGTAATTTATTCCATTGAAATATCATTGATGTATTAGGCCTATAGAAAAGTGATTTATCTTTTTATAAATGACAAAAGGGGGGGGCCTCCAAGGTGCCTCTTGCCTGGGGCCCCCAGAATGTCTTGAAACAGCCCTGCCAGCGACCACTGGTCCATGCCAGGGAGCAGCTGGTCCCGACCACTGAGGAGCTGGTCATGACCAGTATCTTTAGCGCCCCTAGTGGTAGTGGCCACTGGTCCATGCTAGACCACTGAATCGGCTACAGCCCCTGCTGTCTTAATGGTTAAATCACTTTTTTTTAAATGATTAAAAACGACCCTGTAACAGCCCCCCAGTCAATTCATTTGAGGCAGCTGGAAATGAATTCCCCACTTAGAGAATCACTGGGCACCCCTACGGATAGTGGCAGGTCCATGGAGAGAGAGACAGAGAGAGAGAGAGAGAGAGAGAGAGAGAGAGAGAGAGAGAGAGAGAGAGAGAGCTGTTTTCTATAGTGCTCCCCCTCCCTCGCTGATTTTGACATTCATTCATTCAAACAATATTTAGCGCTCTGATTGTGCTACATTCTTTTGTACTAAGTCTAGGTCTGGTGAACCTAGAAGCCTCCTCAAAATTAGCAAGTGCCTCCGCTTCAATTTGTCTTCCGCCTTCCATTTTAGCGCTGCATTGACTTTCGTGCTCTGTCACTCAGAATCGGGAGTGTGCAGCCGTGCGCGTCAAAGACGCCTCTGGTCCAACGCTAAAGAGATACTTTGACTTCCTGTCTTAGCTTTCAGAATAAAGTATATCTAAACATGGTAAAACTGTAATTTATGTAGGGGTGAGGTGGTTTGTTCTTATGGATGGTAAATTGAAGCAAAAATAATGAACAATGAGACCTTGCATCTCAAGTATGAAGTTTCTATAGCATAGTCTATAAACAATGTATAATTTAGAGAAAAATATTTTGAAGCGGCAAAAGCGGAAGTAGCTTAACCATTGACGGGCTTCGTGCAAAAAAGCAGTTGGCGTCTGGTTACACTTATCGAAGCTTCCAGGCGCAATTAATTTATTTTACACATGCACACACTAACGTAACAAACTAACATAAGTTTACACAAAGACAAGAAAGCCATTACCCCCTGTGTGAAAGGTGGTCTGTGTCAGTACACTCTGTGGCCTCTAGTTTCGCAGACCGGGCGAGGGGGAGGCGCAGCGCACCTGCGCTTCGCTAACTGGGTGTGGCCAGGAGGATTTTGCAAGTTTGGCACACCGTGCGCACTGGCGCAGCTACTCCTCTTTCCCACCTCCGTCACTCCTACCTGCGCAAGTCGAAAAGAGGGAGGGGAGAAGGCGTGGAGTAGGTTTTACACAGCCGATTCACATCACACCAATCAAATGAGCCCCTCTCCTCGCCCTTAAATGCACCGCGCGAAGGTGTAATGAGAGTTTACTCAATTCGCCATGGCAGAAGAGAGCAGCAGCGTCACACAGCAGCCACCCTTCCAGAGTGGGGTCCCCCTGAAAGACTGTAGGGATGACAGAATTCCCCAGGATGAACGAGTCATGAGCGGACCCAGGAAAATTAGCATGCACATGTGTCACCAGGCAATTCGAGTCACAAATCACCTGGATATTAATGGAGTGTACTCCCTTACAGTTCACATAGGTGATGGCTTGGGTATCTGGGGCACGCAATTGTACATGTGTGCAGTCGATTGCTCCCAGTACCCCAGGGAATCCACATTTCAACAAGAAACCTCGCTTTGTTTCCAGCTGGCTCTCAGGTGTGGATGCAAAAATTATGTGCTCATTTGCATGTCGGACTAGACTAGACGTCACTGCATGTATAGCCGAACTGACAGCTCTATGACTGATCCCCGGCCACGGTGTGCTGGAAAGACCCGGTGGCGAAGAAGATCAGAGCCACTGTCACCTTTACAGCAACAGGGAGAGCACAGGTGCCACCAGGGTGCACATCAGAGGCGCGTCACCACTTGGACCACCTTGCGGGGTAGATGTAATTTGTTCCTGTGTAATGAAAAAGAGTATGACATGAAATGATAATTACATTGGACGCGGCGGTATTCCAGTCATTATTCGTGTGGCCCACCTGCATTCCAGCTCTGTCATGCCGAAATAGGATGTCCTTTGACGGTACACCCTCTCTGTGTAAGTCCTCCTCCTCCTCCTCCTCGTAATAATGTACTCTATCTTTGTAGATCACGTTAAGCAAGAACATTTTAACATTTGTATAGGCAATCACATGAAGCACGTAAACCCTTAAGACACCGAACATAACTTACAATTTGTTGACAGCGTTTCGCTCGTGCGTGTAACTCTCTCTTTCTCTCTCGCAGTCTCACTCTGTTTCTTTTCTTTTGACTTTTCTAAGATGACAGATGCTAAATATATACTCCCTATCTGATGCTGTGGCTGCTTGTGGTTGGCTGAGAGGGATGTGAACTCATTAGTTTGCAGCTGTGTTAATCAAATCAGGTTGGGTTTCCATTACGTGTGCCAAACGTTGATCTGACATTGGATGTGACAGGACAGTCGATACAGAGATACATTTATGTGCTGATTGCAGATAGTTGCACTTAATAGTGGTTTTTGTGGGTATTTATCGCATTGCCTGACATTCTGGAAACCTGCCTGTGAGGTTTTGGTGACATGTGCACACTGTCCGCCAGACAGACAAACTTCCACTACACCGGCTGCGCTCCGCCTGCGCTGACAGTAGACCTGGTTTCAGCTGGCGAGCTTTTAGTGCACCTTCGGCGAAGCCTTTTGGCACGAAACTGGATCTGTCGAAACCCTCCCCCTGCACCGCCACACCCATCTCAGCGCACCTCGGTCTGCCAAACTACCAAACTGAGCGCGCCTCGGGTTGCGCTGCTCAAAACTAGCTCTGCGCGGGGTTTGCCACCCTGCGCCGCGCCAGGAAACTAGAGGCCTGTGTGTGTGTGTGTGTGTGTGTGTGTGTGTGTGTGTGCATCTTTTTAGTGTGTATGTGTCCATTGCCAATGCGTGTACACAGCTTTTTAATGTACTTAGTCTTAGTTTTGGTGCATGTGTACCCATTATCAGTGTGTGTGTGTGTGTGTGCAGATTTTGATGTGTTTTGCCCTGTATCGGTGCATATGTGCCAATCGTCTGTGTGTGTGTGTGTGTGTGAGTACCTTGTAAGTGTGGGTGCAGGTTATTTGATGTGTTAAGTCCTAAACGGCCTCACATAAATAGCACATGACAGACAGCTAACACTGTTATATAATGTTTCCATGCTGTTTAAAATGGAGATTCTGCCCCTGTCATGCCTGCATTTAAGATCTAGACACGCACACAACATGTTTCTGTGAGTTTGTGTGTCACAGCGGTTGTTATAGTGATTAATGAGAGCCAGCTGGAGCGGAGGAGCAGAGAGGGACAGGCACACAGAACACAGAGGAGAGCTGTATTAGTGGAGCTCTAACTCCTCGAACTAGTTCTTCCTATTCCCAAACAGTTGGTCCAATCATCAAAATAACGTGATGGTGAGAGAGATACACTTCTCCCGAACGCATAGATATAATTTTGTGTTTGTGGAGTCAAAAATGTGATCATACTCGTGAGTTACACATGTGGTGCCCCATAGCTGTTTTCTAGAAATTTCTCCTCTCAGTTTACATACTGTGGGGTTTTTTTTAGCTTGGCGCCACGTAGTGTCAGCGGTGTTGCTTGCACTGTCGCAATGACCAAATTGACCGTGGGGATCAGAGATAATCAATAAAATGTAGGCTGTAAAGCCACCAGTATACCTCTATGTATATGTAGAATGAGAAGGTGTGTGGACACTCTACTAAATAAATGAGTAAAGAGACCGAGCAACAATTATCAGATTTATCTGAAGAAAAAACAAATAGTAATGCAAATAATTATACCAGAATGCACAGTACCAGTACAAACAACTCACAGAAATTATACCAATATGTACAGTATCAGTACAAACAACAGTAAGGGTGGTGACAGTTGAAAAATAACTCCGACGCGCAGCGGAGGGGGTATCACTGTCCGAGGGCTGCCGTAGAATGGCAACGATGATGTCAGCCGACCAACATTCTCTGCCCAGTCCCTGATTGCAGATTTGCGATGCTGGCCAGTTAGGAGTTAACTAGCAGCCAGTACAGTACAGTCCTCTCTCGTCTAGCTAACATTTAGCCATGTTACTGACTGATCCATTAGAAAGAAAGCTAGCTGGACATCGGTTTTGAAGCCTTTTTCTTTTTTGCTCTTTTTTGCCTCCTCAGACAGAGGAGGTCGTTTTCTTTCGCTAGGCTGTTTTTCACTTGTTTCCAAACTTTGTCCGTCTGCTCATGACTCAACTATCTCATGCCCAACTCCTCGTAAGGACCAGCTCCAGTCCCTGATTGGTTGACTGACCAGTTTCGCAATACATGACGCATTTTCTGCTGTAAAGCAGATTTTTTTCCATGAAATTTCACCCCTGGTGGCAGAACCTCATTACAAAGATTGCAAAGCCACTAAGTAACCTATGTCAATGGTGATAGTCTGATTTTACTGTGGCCACTACCCTGTGCAACCCACGTTATTTTCATAATGATATATTTAGGAAAAAATACTATCTGTTGCCTCTTTAACAGTCATAATCACAAAAGTAGCAACAGTAGTATTATTAATAAAGGCTGATGGGAAACACTGATATATAATGTTTAGATACTGTTTAAAATCGAGATTCTGCTGCCCTAATCTCTGCTTCTGAGATTGTGAGACACGCACACACCCACAGGCCTGTGTTTGTGTGTCAGCAGCTGTTGCTATGGTGATTAACGAGGCACACCTGGCAGAGCACAGAGAGAGAGAGAGAGAGACAGGCACACAGAACACAGAGGAGAGCTGTTTTAGTGGAGATCTAACTCCTCGAACTAGTTCCCAAACCGTTGTTCCAATCATCAAAATAACGTGATGAGATACACTTCTCCTGAACGCATAGATATCATTTTTTGTGTTTGTGGAGTCAAAGATGTGATCATACTCGCAAGTTACAAATGTGTTGCCCCTCAGCTGTTTTCCAGAAATTTCTCCTCTCACTTTACATGGGAGTGAATGAGAAAAAATTCGCAGCTCCCTTTGCTTTGGAGCCCACTGAGCAAAAATGTGTAAGTGTGAGAGATTCCATGGGGTCATTGTTGAGACCAGGACAAATTTTCCTTCTTTTTTTTAGTATAATTGTGTATGTAGAGTGAAAATTGTGGCTTTGGCAGCGAGTTTAAGAACTGGTACCCTTTCTCTGGCTATTGAAGTAGGCAGATACAGTATAAAGGTATCCTGGAGGAGCGACGTATATGTGTTCTTTGTGATCTTGATGTTGTTGAAGATGAATATCATTTTCTGTTTCATTGCCCTTTATACTGTGATTTAAGAAACCATCTGTTTGAAAAAGTTCAGTGGAAAAGTCCTGATTTATTTTGGTTGTCCGAAGGTGAGATGTTGCTTTTGGTTTTTTGATGAGGAGACCTTTGCCTTGGCAAGATTTATAGAAAATGCTTGGCACTTAAGACAGAGAACGTTTTACCCAACATAATAAGATGTTTCTGTTATGGAATTTGGCAGTTCTGAAATGTATGCTTTTCCTTTTGTGGACTTCTTGTTACTGATCTGTCATGTGGCCATCCAGGCTGTTGTTCTGTTTAGTGTCTTGTAAGCCCATATGGGCTGGGCACCACTTGGTGCACGACACTTAAATAAAATCAATCAATCAATCAATCAATCAAAGCTACAGCGCTGCCTCCTGTCTTCATAGGTTGCTCTTGCTGATGGTTGGCTCCAGTGCCGACCTGCTACCTATGCAACACAAGTCTAAATCTAAATGTTTAATCTAAATATAAATAAATATAAATGTTAAATGATAAATATAAATGTGCTTGGTGAAACTAAATATTTAGTTAATATGCAAATGCACACTGCCGGTCAGCGGAAGTACCAAAATAAAAGCCCAGGTGGTCAGACTGTGTTTATATCATCAAAAAACAAATTAAAACCAAACTAATTGGAGAAAATGAACACTTGAATATACATCAGCGTGATAAGAACTACCTGACAGAAACCATGTTTGGGGAAATTTTATTTGACATGTACTTGACATGTTGGCGTCTTCTCTGGAGCCTTTGTGCTCCACTATCTCGCAGGTTAACTCATATCGCAGCGGTGCCTGGATGGTGTGACGTGTGTGGTTGTGCTGCTGCCATGGTCCTGCCTGATGCCTCCTACTGCTGTTGTTATCATTATTCACACTTCTACTGTCATTATACACATATGATTATTGTCATACATATACTATCATATACCTACAACATATTGTACCACAATAGCCATAATTATTATTGTAATATTATTACTTAAATTAATGTTGTGGTAAGCTATTATCATTGCTGTCTCTCCTGCATCTCTTTCTGTCTCTCTTTCTGTCTCATTGTGTCATACGGATTACTGTTAATTTATCATGTTGATCTGCTCTGTACGACATCTATTGCA